CTATTCTTCTATTCTTAAAATCAGTATCTATTTACAGTATTCTTTCTGCATAATCTTTTTGTACATTGAAGAACATTTTGATTACATTAAATAAGGCTGCTGATTTTGCTGCTTTTTGGGCGAGTGCAAGTTGGGGAGGAGCAGAGAGGGAGCAGAAGTTCCAAATAGGGCTCTGTACTGACAGACTGACAGCAGAAAGCCCGTCTGAGGCTCGAACTCACAAATGCGAGATCACCTGAGCAGAAGTCAAAAGCGCAACTGACTAAGCTCCCAGGTGTCCCTGATTTTGCTACCTTTTTAAAGGGATCTTCAAGTAAGTACAAAACTTACATTAAAGGTAGAGGAAAGGGGTAGGTTAAGCATCAGACTCTTGATCTTGGCTCAGGGCATGATCTCATGGTTAGGTTTGTGAGACAGAGCCTGAGTCGGGCCTGTTACGGACTCTCTCTCTCTCTCTCTCTTTCTCTCTCTCTCTCTCTGTCCCCCCCCCCCCCGCTCCTGTTCTCTCTCTCAAAATAAATAAAGTTTAAAAAAAAAAAGTAGAGGAAAAACGTCCCCTGAATTTACATCTTCCTTCTCACACCCCAGCTGTAAACAATTGGCATACTCTATTTTAAAACACTTGGTTCAATATATGCTTGTTTTAAAACCTCCTCAAACTCTCTCTAGGTTTAAAATTCTGTTCAATTAGCACACTTTTGAGGAGAGAATGTACTCAGAACTTGGGATATGGTGGGCCAAGCAGCCTGAGGGTATCAAATTTTCTAACGTCCCACCTAACACACAGATGTAGTCACTACAAATACGTATGTGAGGATATAATGTACTCTTGCTTTGTCAAGCCATTTGATAGTTTTCAAGATCATGTTACCCTAACTCTAAACGGTGATGTAATCTGGTAGCAGTGTTTAGTTCATTTGCATAATTTTAAAAAAATCAATGTATTGTCAACTTCCAGGAAAGGCAGTGGCGGCTGCCAGGGAGGAGGTACTCACCATGCAGGCAGAAGCTGCCCCGAGAGCCAGAGCGAGGAGGAACCCAGCCCCCTGAAGCCTCCCCGTGGAGGTTCTTTGAAGGCTCTTCGAGCAGAGCTGCACCTGAGCTGGAGGAGGAGCCGGAGGAGGAGCCGGAGCACGGCCAGCACAGCCCCGGAAAGTCTTTCTTTATTTTATTTTATTGTTTAATGTTTCTTTATTTCTGAGAGAGACAGAGGGCAAGCAGGGGAGGGGCAGAGAGAGAGGGAGACACAGAATCCGAGGCGGGCTCCAGGCCCTGAGCTGTCAGCACAGAGCCCATGATGGGGTTAGAACTCACTAACAGGAAAGATCATGACTTGAGCCTAGCACTTAACCGCTGAGCCTCCCAGGTGCCGCCCCGAAGGCCTTCCATTAGGTTGAAACGGCTCAGCTGGCCCCTTGAGCTGTCTGCGCTGCGCATGCGCAGACATCCATGCCTGTGCCTGCCCGGGTAGTGGGCTGCGGTGGGCCGGGCTACCCACTGCTTCAGTTCCTAGCAACTTGGCGTGGGCTGTCTTGGCCTGGCGGACTGCCAGTTGATGGAGATGAGCAACCGTGCGCCAAGGGCAGCATGGCGAGACCTTTTCGGCCACTGTGTCAGTCCCGGCCTGGAGCACGTGCCCTGTGCGCAGGCCCTTAACCAACCACAGCTCCAGACCTGGTCCATCTCTAGGAACTGCGACAGAGTGGTCACTTGCCATCTGGTTAATGATAGGCGCCAGCCAGAGGCCGGCCTCCCACGCTGGCCAGTGCCCTGCGCCCCTCGGTCTAAATCAGAGCCAGCCGGCCGGCCTTGCCACCTCTGCATCTCTCCCAGCTTCTCCAGCAAGACAGTGATCAATTGCATGGATGATGCGGTGTCCGGCGTCCTAACCCGGACGCCGGGCTGCCTGCAGAAGCTGGCACTGATGTGGGCCCTCTCACAGCGGCCTGTCGGATGTCTCAGGGGCATTTCCGCAGTACTCAGCTGCAGAGCCACAGACCCAGCTGGACAGCTTTCGGGGAGTGGCCCCCTGTGACTAATCTGGACTAGTGACAGGGACAGATAGGATTCAGTAAGCAGAAAGGGAGAGGAAGGCTTGAAGGCCCCTGGGTGGGGAAGAACATAGTGTAAAACATTTTTGCTGGGAAAGTCTGACCCCGAGCAAACTCCCTTGGGCATAAAGTTCCTCTTAAAAATGTAACAGACAGGAGCTACTCCCCCTCAGGTTCCCCTCAGGAATTTGACAAACAGAAGACCCAACTAAAAATAAGTAGACCATAAAACATGACCCACGAGGAAAGTATGGCAGTGGAATGACCACCCCTCATGCAATGGAATGAGTCAATCAAAAAGGAATGACTAAGCATTTAGAGTTACCTACCCAATAAAGCTAGAACTAGAGGAGAAACAAGGGGGAAAGGAGAGGGGCCAACCAAAACGCTATTAAACAGTCCCTTGCCTACCGTCCGTGGGCATTCACTTTAGAATGTCCCCTGTCTGTAGAGCGCTTTCCTACTATTCCCACTTTCTGATCTTACATTCTAATAAACTCTTTCCTGCTGCCCATTTTATTTTGTATCTACCTCTTCATCCTTCAAAGCAGTGAGACAACGAACCCTGAGTATGGAGGTGAAGAATCCCATAACACTAGGAAGCCTTCTGTGACTCCTAAACCACCGACAAGTGGCCTCGGGGCAGTTGGGAGCTCAGAGGAGCAGGATTCTGCGTGAGCAGTAAGCGACTTCTGGATTCTAGGCACTCCACCTGTTGCTGGCTATGGGCCTCAGGTGGAGGTGGCCATCTGTCATTTACCTCCTGCCCTACACATCCCTTTGAAATTCTTGGAGTGGAGGAATGCAGGAAAGTTGAAAGCTCCTGGAAGACATAATCGGGGAAGGGAAACGGGCACGCGGGAAGTGGCGGCTCTCCCCATTTATGTGATTTGTAAACTGAGCGATTACTTCCCCAAAGCTGTAAACTGCCTGCAATCTGAAACAGCAACCCAAGAGTTGGAGTCTTTAACAGTTCAGGATGTTGCCAGGGTCTCATGGACAATGCTGGCGAAATCCGTGAAACATCTGCAGAACCGAGGTGGCTGGTACAGTCTGACCTAAGAAAGATGTGAATTACTTCATATTATCTCAAACATATATTTATTTTCATCTTTTAAATTAATGTAGAAAAGAACCTGGGATTCTACAATACCTACAAATACATGAACTCCTTTCGTGTGGGACTTTTCTACTGCACTTTATTGGATGACTTATTAACCTATTACAGTTTCTGAGTATATTCTTGTTTTGGGCACTTGGAGAGTGTCATGAAACTTGGAAATAAATGAAGCATTTTCTTGTTTTAAACTGCAGATCATATACTTACCCACTTTTTGTCCACCTCTCCAGTAAAAAAAATATTCTGTAAAATGTCCACTTCTTGTCTGGAATTGAAGTGGGGTAAACTGAACTACCAAACTAATCATAGATAATAATGTAAGGGCAGCTTATTGTTTAGTAATGCATCCTTTGAGTCTGATTTCAAATGACAGACTCTGAGAGATAAGCCCACTGACCCAGTCAAAGGAGGGACACGAAATCTCGGAGCACAGTGAAGCGAGGCTTTAATTAATGTTCTTGCAAGAGCAGGTGTCTGATGGACAGGCGCACGCAGGGCGGTTACAGCAGGCAATTTTTCTCCTAAAGTGCAAGTCCCTCCCCTGGTTCCTCATTGGCTGAGTACTACAGAGGTTACAGCCTTACGAGGAAGTTGTCTATGCCCTTACATGGCATCCTGTCAGGAAAAAGCCTCATTAGAATTAATGTACATTCCTTGGGTGATACAGAGACTTCAGTTCTTTGGCGCATGCTCATTGTAAAGCCCGGAAACAGGGCAAGAAGCAGGGAGTGAAGTGTCTAAGGATTTGGGACTCCATTTGTTTTGGGGGGGAGGGGGGAGCGCTACATTTTCCAATAGGTTGTAAACCTGTTGATAATTAGACAGCACAGCTTTTATTTGGTACTACTGAAAATGAGTCATCTCCCTTACTTTTCACATACATGTATCCTACATTAATAGTGTTTTAATATGTAAATTGTTTTAATTATCTGGGAAGTGGTCATTCCATTAAACATTTCGAATTTATATCAAAGTGACATCTTTACAGTTTAGCAAGATAAAGGAAACCAACTTTGTAGTCTGTGTCTCTTACAGATTGCTGGTATGTTCTTAAAGTTAGCTGCAGGGTCCACCTCATGTTGTGTATGTATAACATTTTCTAAACTATTATGGTCTGGCCTGCTTTAGAGTCTTAAAAGTCCAAGTTCCAACTTTCCCCGCCCCTGCTCTTCAGTTTATCTTTTTCATTTTGGTATAATCCATTCCAGCATTTTATAGCAGTGTAAAATGTATACTTACTAAACTACATTTTCATGAAATGGCCAGTAGTCTGCCAAGATTACAAATGTACAAAAAATTAGAAGCAGCAATTTGGTATGTTAGTATATACATCAATGGCAAATTAATGAACAAATACTTTGTCTTGTCAAAAGGGGGTACTCTCCAGCTGACTATTGCATGCAGGCCCGTTGATTTGTCAGATATGTATGTATGTGTGTGTGCATATGTATATATATTTAAGAGAAGGCAGAAATCACAGATGTAAATGTAAAATCTTTGTATTACTAGCAACAAATTGTGTGTTGGGGGGTAGGGATGGAGTGGTTTAAAACTACTGTGGGCCAGACAAAACCACTGAAGGCCATTTTTACTCTTCAGATCACCAGTTTGCAACCTCTGGTATCGTCTCTTATTTTATTATAAATGGCTAGTAGTTTATCAGCCGTTCAAAATTAGGATATCATCATTTTTCAATTATGGAATATAGTGTAACCCTTTGTAGTTCTTTAAACAGGTGTGCTTAAAGTGTGGTATGCCCTTCTCTGTTATGATGTTATGGAACCTGGTCTGGATCACCCGGCAGAAGAACCAAGCGGTGCTCAGAGATCTTGGGAGGCAGGAAGTTTATTTCACACTGGTGGGCTCAGAGGAAATCAGTCTTCAGAGATCTGAGTCCTGAGCATAAGTAGAGGGAACAATTTATAGTCCGTTACTTCCACATTCCATATTAGTAGTAATTTGGCACACGCATGGCAAGCAGGGTAGGAAGAAGAACCTGGAAGAGGAGTCTTTGGTCGGGGCTAGAATTTCCCTATGAATCCTGTCGGCCATCTTATAACAGGTTTTTACCCTATCAATGCAGATGTAACAGGCCTCATTACTGTTTTTTCCCAAGGGGTTATAGAAATAAATGACTGAGACCTGAAGGAGAGAACAACAACAACATCAACGTATTTTCCTACATTAACAGAAAAAGACAAAATACAATCATCTCAACAGATGCAGAAGTTTAACATTCTTTCGATGGGTTGGGGGGGGGGAAGAAACCTCTTTGTTAACAAAGAATAGAAGAGAATATCTTTCATCTATTACGAACTCTCCATCCAAACCTACAGTTATCATCATGATTAATGGTAAATTGTTGAAAAATTTCGCTCTGAGATTTGAAATGAATCAAAGATGCTTGATATCACCACTTACATTCATATTTTAATAAAAGTTCTAGCTAGTACAATGAAGCCAGAAAAACAAACAAGCAAATAAATAAAAATAAATGAGTTTTGGAAAAGAAGGCATAAAACAATCTTTTTCTCTTTTCTTTCTTTTTCCTTTGTTTTAATTTTTCAGAAGACAAGATTATGTATGTAGGAAGTCTGAAGTACAAATGTATGCTATTAAAATTTTAAATCGCGTTTATAAGGTTATGGGTTTCATGGTAAATATACTAATTGTGATAGTTAATTTTATGTGCCAACATGATTGGGCTAAGGGAGGTCAAAATAGCTAGTAAAACACTATTTCTGGGTGTGTCTATGAAGGTGGTTCCAGAAGAGATTAGCATTTGAATCAGCAAATTGCTTAAAGGTCTCCTTTACCAATAAGGGCAGGCATCACTCAATCTTTTGAGGGCCTGAATAGCACAAAAAAGGTGGAGGAAGGGTAAATTTGCTTTCTCTGAACTGAGCCGTCCATCTTCTGCCCTCAGACATCAGCGCTTCTGTTTTTCAGGTTTTTTACTCAGACCCTGGGACTTACACCATCAGCCCCCTTATTCTCGGGCTTTCAGTCTCAGACTGATTACAACACCCATTTTCCTGGTTCTCTGGCTTGCAGACAGCAGATGAAGGGCCTTCTTAGCCTCCATAACAGCAGGAGCCAATTCCTAACATATCTCCTCATATATATCTATATATATCTTACTGGTTCTGTTTCTTGAAGAACTCTAATAGGCCAACTAATCATACTTCTTTACATCAGCCTTGGCCCCTAGAAAAAGGAAAATAAAATTTAAGAGGAATTCCATTTGTAATAACATCCAAAAGTACAACATATCTATGAAAATAATCTAATAAAAGACATGCAAGACCTCTACAAGGAAAACTATAAATCATTACCGAGGGAAAATTAAGAAAGACCTAAATAAATGGAGAGACATACTATATTTTGACATACCAATTGAGACACTCAATACTGTCAAGATGTTAATTTCTCTAAACTGATTTAGTACTTCTGTGCAATCTAAAATAAAATCCCAACCATTATTAGTATGTAAGTTGACAAGGTGATTCTAAATATTATATGGAAATACAAATATCTGTCTAAGATCATGTAGATGTTGTCCAATGTTCTAGAAATTTCATGTTATATTTTTAACATTTAGGTCTACAATTCATAGGGAATTGATTTTTGTGTGGGGGAGGTGTAAATAGAAGTCAACTTTTATTTTCTACATGTATATCTTACTTCCCAGTGCCATTTAACTCACTACCAAGCTAACTGAACAGATTTCGTGGGCACACATAACAAAAAAAATATAGACTTTACAAAATTGGTTCAAAAGTCAGGTAACATATATACAAATCACATCAATAACAAATAGCAACAAGAACAAAATAAACCTCAAGTGCATGGGAGAAATTGAATTTTAGAGTTGCCACATTATTTTATTTAAAACATTCAGTTTTTAACAAGTAATTATGAGACATACATAGAAATAAGAAATAAATGGGGGGTGGGGATGGGAGAAAGAGATGGGAACTGTCCCTGAGGAAGCCCAGATGTTGCACTTAACTAGGAAAAAACCCCCAAACTTTACAATTAGTCATTTTAAATATGTCCAAAGAACTAAAGGAAACCATGTCTAAAGAATTAAAGTAAAATATGAGGATGATGTCTTACCAAATACAGAATATCAATAAGGACAAATATTATAAAAAGAACAAAATTCTAGAGTTGAAAAACAAAAACTGAAATGAGATTTCAATAGGGGGCTCAACAGCGGATTTGAACAGGCAGAATAAGAATCAGCACACTTGAGGAGCGCCTGGGTGGCTTAGTCGGTTAAGCGTCCGACTTTCGCTTAGGTCATGATCTCGCGGTTCGTGGGATCGGACCCCACGTCGGGCTCTGTGCTGACTGCCAGCTCAGAGCCTGGGGCCTGTTTCAGAGTCTGTGACTCCCTCTCTCTCTGACCCTCCCCTGCTCACACTGTCTCTCTCTCTCTCTCTCTCTCTCTCTCCTAGAAATAAATAAAATTAAAAAAAAAAAGAATCAGCACACTTGAAGGTATGTCAATTAAGATTATCCAGTTTGAGTAATAGGAAGAAAAAAGAATAGAAAAAAATGAATAGAGACTCAGAGAAACGTGGGCCATGTCAAGCACAACAATATATGCGTAATAGGAAATCCAAAAGCAGAAGGGTCTCTGTTCATAAGAGAGATTGGTCTGTAGTTTTCTTGTAATGTCTTTGTCTAGTTTTGGTATTAAGGTAATGTTGGCCTCATAGAACGAGTTAGGAACTATTCCCTCTGCTTCTATCCCCTGACAGAGATTGTAGAGAATTAGCATAATTCTTCCTTAAGTGTATGGCAGGATTCACCAGTGAACTCATCTTGGCCTAGTGTTTTCTGTTTTGAAAGACTGATTACTGACTGATTCTATTTTTTAAATAGATACAGTCATATCCACATTGTCTATTTTCTCTTGTGTAAATTTTAGTAAGTTGTGTCTTTCAAGGATTTGGTCCATTTCATCTAAGCTATCAAATTTGTGAGCACAGAGCTTTTCATACTATTCCCTTATTATCCTTTTAATTTCCAGGGTATCTGTGGTTATATCTTCAATTTCACTTATTAGTCATTTGTGTCCTTTTTATCTTAGTTAGCCTGTCAAGAGCTTATGGATTTTATTGTTCTTTTCAAATAACCAGCTTTTGGTTTCCTTGACTTTCTGTATTGGTTTCCTTGACTTTCTGTATTGATTTCCTGTTTTCAATTTCAATTATTTCTCCTCTGCTTCTTATTTCTTTTCTTCTGCTTACTTTGGATTTAATTTTCTCCCCCTTTTCTAGTTTCCTAAGGTGGAATGTTAGATGACTGATTTTAGATCTTTCTTCTCTTCCAACATATGCACTGAAAACCACACAAGGGCACTACGAGAAAAGAAAATTACAGGCCAGTATTCCCAATGTAGATGCAGAAATCCTCAGCAAAATACTAGCAAACCAAATCCAACAAAACATCAAATGGATTATATACTACGGTCAAGTTGGGTTTATTTTAGGGATATAAGGATGGTTCAACATCCATAAACCAATCAGTGTGGCACATTAACAACAAAATGAAGGATAACAATTATATAATCATCTCAATTCATGCAGGAAAAGCATTTGACAAAATTGAACATCTATTCATGAAAAAAACCCCATAAAACCCTTACATATAGAAGAAATGTATTTCAATGTAATAAAAGCCATATATGATGATAAGGCCACAATTAATATCACACTCAACAGTGAAAAGCTAAAAGTTTTTCCTCTAAAATCAGGAGTAAGACAAGTGTGCCCACTCTTACCACTTCCATCCAACATAGTTCTGGAAGTACTAGTCAGGATAATTAAGATACAAAAATAAATAAATAAAAGGCATCCAAGTCAGAAAGGAAAAAGTAGAATTATCACTCTTTTCAGACGACATGATCTTATTTTTAGGAGTCCCTGAAAGCACCACCAAAACACTTAGAACTACTGAAGGAAATTAATTAAGTGGCTTGACTCAAAACCAACATACAACATTCAAAAATCAGTTGCATTTCTATATACTAACAACAAACTATCTAAAAATGAAAGAAAACAATTCCATTCACAATAATATCAAAAAGAATAAAATACTTACAAATAAATTTAACCGAGGAGATGCAAGATCTGTGCACTGAAAACTACAAAACATTGATTAAAAATTAAAGTTTTGCTTTCTTCCTTCCCAATTACAAAGCCTTTTATTTCTTTTTGTTGTCTGATTGCTGAGGCTAGGATTTCCAGTACTATGTTGAACAACAGTGGTGAGAGTATAAATCCCTGTTGTGTTCCTGACCTTAGGGGAAAGAAAGCTCTCAGTATTTCACTTTAAGGATGATATTAGCTGTGGGTCTTTCATATATGGCCTTTATGATCCTGAGGTATGTTCCTTCTATCTCTACTTTTTTGAGGGTTTTTATCAAGAAAAAGATGTTGTATTTTGTCAAATGTTTTTCAGTATGTATTGAAAGAATCATTTGGTTTTCATACCTTCTATTATCAGTGTAGTATATCACATTGATTGATTTGTGGATATTGAACCACTCCTGCATCACAGGAATAAATCCCACTTGATCGTGGTGAATAATTCTTTTACTGTCTTGTTGGATTCAATTTGTTAGTCTCTTCTTCAGAATTTTTGCATCGATGTTCATCAGGGTTATTGGTCTATAATTCTCCTTTTTAGTGGGGTCTTTGTCTGGTTTTGGAATCAAGGTAATACTGGTCTCATAGAATGAGTTTGGAAGTTTTCCTTCCGTTTCTAGTTTTTGGAAGAGTCTGAGAAGAATAGGTACTAATTCTTTAAATGTTTGGCAGAATTCCTCTAGGAAGCCATCCAGCCTTGGGCTCTTGTTTGTTGGGAGATTTTTGATTACTGATTCAATTTCTTTGTTACTTATGGGTCTGTTTAAACTTTCTATTTCTTCCTGTTTCAGTTTTGGTAGTTTTATGTTTCTAGGAATTTGTCCATTTCTTCCAGATTGCCCAATTTGTTGGCATATAATTCCTCATAATATCCTCTTAAAATTGTTTGTATTTCTGCAGTGTTGGTTGTGATCTCTCCTCTTTCATTCACGATTTTATCTATTTAGTGACTTTCTCTTTTCTTTTTGATAAGTCTAGCTAGGGAGTTATCAATTTTGTTTATTCTTTTAAAGAACCACCTCCTGGTTTTGTGGATCTGTTCTACTGGGTTTTGTTGTTGTTGCTGTTTTGCTATAATTGATTTCTGCTCTAATCTTTTTTATTTCCCTTCTGCTGGTTTTGGACTTTACTTACTGCTCTGTTAGGTTGTATATTCGAGACCTTTCTTCTCCTTTAGAAAGCCCTATATGGCTATACTTCCCTCTTATAACTGACTTTGCTGCATCCCAAGGTTCTGGACTGTCGTATTTTCAATTTCATTGGCTTCATTGAAAACTTTCAAATTTCTTCTTTAATTTTCTTGGTTAACCCATTCATTCTTTAGTAGGATGTTCTTTAACTTCCATGTATTTCTTCCATGTAGTTGTGGTCTTTCCAAATTTTTTCTTGTGGTTGACTTCAAGCTTCATAGCATTTGTGCTCTGAAAATATGAATGGTATGACCTCAATCTTTTTATACTGATCAAGGCCTGATATGTGACCCAGTATGTGATCTATTCTGGAGAATTTTCCATGTACACTTGAAAACAATGTGTACTCTGCTGTTTCAAAGTGAAATGTTCTGAATGTATCTGTTACATCCATCTGGACCAGTGTGTCATTCAAAGCCATTGTTTCCTTGTTAATCTTCTGCTAAGATGATCTGTCCATTGCTGTAAGTGGAATGTTAAAGTTCCTTACTATTATTGTATTATTCTCGATGTTTCTTTAAGTTTGTTATTAATTTATTTATATATTTGGGTTTACCAAGTTGGGGGCAAAAATATTTACAGGTGTCAGATCTTCTTGTATAGATCCCTTTATTATGATATAGTGCCCTTCTTCATCTCTTATAGTCTTTCATTTAAAATCTAGTTTGTCTGATAGAAGTATGACTACTCCAGCTTTCCTTTGATGTCCATTAGCATGATAAATGGTTCTCCACCTTCTTATATTCAATCTGGAGGTGTCTTTGGATCTAAAATTAGTCTCTTGTAAGCAGCATATTGATGGGTCTTTTTATCCATTCTGATACCCTATGTCTTTTGATTGGAGCATTTAGTCCATTTACATTCAGAGTAATTATTGATAAATATGAATTTAGGGCCTTTGTATTACTTATAAAGTTGCTGTTCCAGGAAATTGTTTCTGTTCTTCTCTAGTCTTTGGTGCTTTTGGTCTCTCTTTCCCACTCAAAGTGTTACCTTGAATAATTCTTGCAGAGATGGTTTAGTTTTCACAAATTCCTTTAGTTTTTGCTTGTCTTGGAAACTCTTTAGCTCTCCTTCTATTCTGAATGACAGCCTTCCTGGATAAAGCATTCTTGGCTGCATATTTTTCCCATTAGTACATTGAATATTTCATGCCACTACTCCCTTCTGGACTGAGACATTTCTGTGGACAGATCTGCTGTGAACCTGACCTGTCTGCCCTTGTGAGTTAAGGACCTTTGTCCCTAGCTCCTTTCAGAACTCTTTCTTTATCTTTGTATTTTGCAAGTTTCACTAATTTGTCTTAGTGATGACCTGTTTTTGTTGATTTGAGGGGAGTTCTCTGTGCCTCTTGAACTTGAATTTCTGTTTCCTTCCCCAGATTAGGGAAGTCCTCAGCTACAATTTGTTTAAATAAACCTTCAGTCCCTTTTCCATTCCTTTCTTCTTCTGGGACTCCTATGACACAGATATTATTATGCTTTATAGAATCACTGATTTCCTAAGTCTATATTTGTGATCTAATAGTTTTCTTTCCATCTCCTTTTCACCTTTATTATTTTCCATAATTTTATCTCCTGTATCATCAATTCAATCCTCTGCTTCTTCCATCCTCATTGTAATTGCATCCAGTCAGTTTTGCATCTCAATTATAGCATTTTTTATTTTGGCCTAATTTTAGGTCTTTTATTTCTGCAGCAAGGGTTTCTCTGGAGTATTTTATGCTTTTTTTTTTCAAGCCCAGCTACTATTCTTATGACTGTTGTTCTAAATTCTTGTTCAGATATATTACTTATATCTATTTTGTGAAAATCCCTTATTGTGGTTTCTTCTTTATCTTTCTTTGGAGGAGAATTCCTCCATTTATCATTTTGTCTAGGTTTCTGTCATTTGTGCATTATGGAAACTTGTCATCTTTCCTGCTCCTGAGACTAATGCTATATTAAGAAGGGTTCACACACTGTGCAAGGCCTGGAGCTTTAGGAAGTGTTTCTGGTGTATGCTGTGTGCACTCTGCTGTTATGATATGGCCTCTCTTTCCCCCAGGTCAGTCCTCTGCAGAGTTCCTCCTTGCTTGCCGTGGGAGAGTCTGGACCTTTAACTAGGTGTGCTTTGATTTGTTAAAATAAACTCAACTGGCAAAAAAAAAAGCCTGATTCTATTTCCACCAGAGCTGAAGCTGACACTTTGGAGCACTCTATAATCAGTAGACTTGGTATATGCAAGGGTGTGTGGGGGGCTGTGTTGGTCCTTTGTGGGAAAGGCCTGCTGTGCTCTCTCATAGTCAGATCTGCCCTAGTAAAGATGCTCCTGGAAGGTGCAGGGTGGTAGGGTTTGGTGTAAGTAGCTCCAGCCCTGACTGAGGGCACAGTGTGACTCACTGAAGGCTGACTCTGCCGGTAAGTGGGGGAAGATCACATCACCCAGCTGTCTTCAGAGGAGAGGTTTGCAGCACTGCACCTGGTGCCATTATGTCCCAGAAAACAGTTGCATAGCCATGCAGGAGCCTGGAGTTTATGGTGATGCACAGCAAAAAGCTGTGACCACTCTATCCATTCTCTGCACACACCTCTGTCCCCTGTTGTTGAATAGCTGCTCAAGGATGCCAGCCTGGCCTTTTGTCCATAGAAAGGCAATACACCCTCTTCTAAATATACTTCAGGGAGGGGAACTTTCTCTCCCAGTGCAACCCAGCAAGGATCCCCACATCATACTGTCCACTGTCTGCTCCTGGGCCCATCTCCTTCTCCCCAGGAGGACTGCCACATGCCCAGATCTAGTCCAGTGAGCAGCAAAGACTTCCAAAAACTCAGAATTTCAGCTCTACTGTTTGTGAAAACTTGCAATACTCTGTTCCTCATGATTCCCTCATCAGTGATTTTGGAGAGTGGTTTTCTTGCACAAACCTGATACACTGCTCTTTCTCCCCTTCTCTTGTTCTCTACATGGAAAGGGCTCCCGCTGGTACTGTGGCTTTTTGCTTCTCCAATTTCCATCTCCATAGCACATACCTGACACATTCTCTCCTCAAATTATACAGACTGTTCTTGTAATCCTCAGATTAACTTCCTAGGTATTCAACATGATCTGTTGTCAATCTAGTTGTTCGAGGAATGATACTAGCCCAGGGTCCCCCTAAGACTCCTCCCCCTAAAATGTATGTGTATATATATTTTTTTTTAAAAAAAATATAGTTTATTGTCAAGTTGGTTTCCATATAACACCCGGTGCTCATCCCAACAAGTGCCCTCCTCCATGCCCATCACCCATTTTCCCCTTCCCCCCACCCCACATCAATCCTCAGTTTGTTCTCAGTATTTAACACTCTTGTGGTTTGCCTCCCTCCCTCTCCTTAACTATATTTTCCCCTTCTCCTCCCCTATGGTCCTCTGTTAAGTTTCTCCTGTTCCATATATAAGTGAAAACATATGGTATCTGTCTTTCTCTGCCTGACTTATTTCACTTAGCATAATGCCCTCAAGTTCCATCCACATTGCTACAAATGGCCAGATTTCATTCTTTCTCATTGCCATATAATAGTCCATTGTATAGATAAACCACATCTTCTTGATTCATTCGTCAGTTGACAGACACTTGGGCTCTTTCCATGATTTGGCTATTGTGGAGAGTGCTGCTATGAACATTGGGGTATATGTTCCCCTATGCATCAGCACTCCTGTATCCCTTGGGTAAATTCCTAGCAGTGCTATTGCTGGGTCATAGGGGAGTTCTACTTAAAATGTATATTTTTTAGATTGTTATTAAGGTCCCTGTTAGTTTTCTCCAAAGTAAACATACCCAGTCCTGTCAGTCATTCCTCATACCATTAATTCAAACCTCTGTATAATGGTGAGTAATTTTCTTTGAAGATATTCCTAAAACTTAATCTGAGGCAACTAAAGAGTGCAGTATTGGTCTGATTAGTATAAAATAGAAAGGGACTAATATCTAGTTTCAGACTCTGTATTTCTATTATGGTAGCTGAAGATGATCTTGTATGCTCTCATCATTTTAACTCATAATGACCTTGTTAAAAGTTAAAAGTTGAAGTCATTTTTCACATATCATCCATTCTATACTTGTACAATTGGTTTTTTGGATATAACGTGTAGGAGTTTCCATTTGGCCCTATAAAACCTTATCTTTATTTTTGCCCATATTCTAAATTTTTTAGTTATTTTTTAGATTCTTATATGACCATTGGGTACACAATGTATCTCTTCCTGTTGCCTAACAGCTCCTAATTTCATCAACATATTAACAGTGTCCTCATCCAGATAATTTTTGTAAGTAGGCTCCATGCCCAAAGTGGGGCTCAAACCCATAACCCTGAGATCAAGAGTCACACACTATTCCAACTGAACCAGCCACATACCTTCTCATTCAGATCATTAACAGGCAGAGAGCAGAGCCATGTCATACACTACCGTACCCTTTTCTCCAGATAAGAGGCAACGGTTTATTGATTGGTGGTTTTTCAACATTTTTGTACATACATTAGGATATGTTGTTGTAACAAATAAATCCACAAATATCAGGGACTCACCAGAAATTTAACTCTCATTCATGTCTCAGTCCAGCGTAGTCGGGCAACTCTCCTAAGCCGTTTGTCTCTGTGCAGCACCCAGGGCACTGGGCTGATTGTCATCTCTTTACCATGTACATGGATAGGGCATGAGAGAGTGAGCTGAGATTCTCACAGCTTTCATGAAACAGGTTTCAAAGTGGCCCATATTACTTTTCCCATGCCCTCTGGGCTGTTATCAGTCACATGGTCTCAAACTAACTGCTGGGAAATGTAGTCTTTTTGTGTATTAATGAGCATTCCTATATAAAGAAATAGTATTAATTCGCATCTAGCCATAATTCCCTTAATATAATAAAACCTCCGTCTTTTAATGTTGGCAATAACAGGAGACTTCCCACGTGGGAAAGAGTGAATGAACCTCGCAGTCTTACTCTTTCCTGCTTAGGATTTGCCTTCCGTTGAAGCTCTTCCATTTGCACCACTGCCATCACCACCAAGACATCAGGGACTGCTGCGACCCCTTAAATACGCCCACCTAAAAGACACTCATTTTTCACTAACCCCACCAATGTGGACAAGATGCTCTCACCAGTAGAGTTAGATGAAATAGGCCAGTTTGTTCCCTCCACAGTCTAAAGGAATTTAGTGATGAGTCCACCAATTCCCAAGTTCTCTCTGCAGTGGATTCTCGGCCCCTCCAGGCAACAAAACAATATGATCTCATATGGATTCTCCCTTGCAGGTGGTCCCACATCCATTCTAAGCAGAAACACTCTTGGATGTCTTGCCCGAAAGAACTATGAGAATTTTTCCTGATAAATCACCTTGTCTCCCAAAAATTGATACCTAGGAAGCCCTTCTCTTTTAAGGGGACATCCCAATCCCAGCTTCAGAAGGAACGTAATCTCACCGCTATGGTTTTAACATAGACCAGGACAATCATAAGGTACCACATGTTCCACTCAGGTGGAGGTGGCATGAGTCTCGGACAATTCTTTGTTGTGTGCACCTATCCTAACAACTAACATGACTTGTGTTAAATACCCCTTAGCCACTGTGTTTGACAAAGATGACTCCATAGTTTTCCTATCTCCTAGGATCCACAACTGAGAATCACTGGGATTTAAATGTAAACTTTGCCAAGCCCAACCCTTCGAAGAAGTGGATAATCGTTTTTCCAGTTTTTTAAATGAAGTAATTGACATATATCACTGTATAAGTTTAAGGTGTACAGCGTGATGGTTTGATTTATGTAACTTGTGAAATGATTACAACAGTAAGTTTTGTTAATATCCAGCATCTCATAGAGATAAAAGGAAAAAAATGTCTTTGTGATGAGAACTCTTAGGATCTACTCTCTTAACAGCTTCTCTATATATCATACAGCCGTGTTAGCTCTAGCCATCATGTCATACATTACATCCCTAGCACTTCTTTCCCTTATAACTGGAAGTTTATGCCCTTCCACCACCTTCCTTCAATTCCTTCTCCACAACCTCCTGCTTCTGTAAACACAAAGCTGATCTCTTTTTCTATCAGTTTGTTGGGATTTGTTTGTTTTTAGAGTCCACATGTAAGTGAGATCACAAAGTATTTGGAAGACATGGATACTTGAGCCTTCAATACTATGCACTTTAAAAAGGAAAAGAGGCTATTTATTTAGTTTCATGTGCAAAGAAGGAAATAGCACCATCAAATTGCCTTCCTCCTACTCCTCCCCCTCTGCCTTCAAGGCAAAATAGATTTGCTGGCGGATGGATGTGGTGTAAGTGACCATTCTTGAACTGTGATATGGTGCTTTTAGACTTCTATTTTCAGTTGCTTATTCCATAGGAGAAATAATAGGAGTCAAGTAATGGCATCACCTGAAAAAATAGCCTTCACCCCAAAGGACTCTTCTGAATCAACAGTCCCTCCAAACTGAGCCTTCGTACAGAGCTCCCCTTCCTGTCCATCTCTCCAGGGTCAGCTCCCCACTGGCCCATAACCCTCAAGGCCTTTCCTCATAGGCCTTTTCAGAGAACAGTCCTTCATTATTATTAAATCAATTGATTAAGTGATTATAACATTTAGTGATTAATTTAGCAACACTGAAAATGAAAACATTCTTGCAGCCAGGGTGTGGTAATGTGTACAAATGTCCCTCTGACTCGTATATGTATGAAAACTTTTCTAAAGCTAAAGTTTTCAATATGACTTTTGCTTTTTTTCTTCTTTTGAAGTAAGGCAATCATGATAATCATAGCAATATTAAGATGTTACAGCATAAAGTAGGACAAGGACTGTTTTTTATCTTGCATCATTTACTAATCCATGTGACTGTACCAACATGCATTATTCCACCGGGCTATCATGAATGACTTTGTCAAATGTCAGGCTAGGGGCGCCTGGGTGGCTTAGTCGGTTGGGCTTCGGCTTTCGCTTGGGTCATGATCTCGCGGTTTGTGGGTTCGAGCCCCGCGTCAGGCTCTGTGCTGACTGCCGGCTCGGAGCCTGGAGCCTGTTTCAGTCTGTGACTCCCTCTCTCTCTGACCCTCCCCTGCTCATGCTGTCTCTCTCTCTCTCTCTCCTAGAAATAAAGCATTAAAAAAATTAAAAAAAAAAAAAAGTCAGGCTAATATCTACAAGCACTTGTGTGGCATTCTCCTAATCTAGTTAATAAATTAACTTTTTCAAGAACAAATGAAAACAAAGGCCATACCATACAAGCTTAAAGCTCTTTCAAATTTAAAAGCACACAGGAAAAAAACAACCAGATATAGCTTTCATATGACCTTAGAAAATTCTTTATATGACCCTTTTGTTGCTATTATCTCTATGGGAGGCATCACAGGCAGTGGATTTAAAATCAGGAAACAGACCTGGGTTTTGCTTCATGTATCTGGTTGACCTTGGGGAAGTCATTTAATTCTTCTCTCTCCTTATCTCTAAATATTAAAAAAAATAATTAGAATCTAATTAGGAAAACACAATCCCTCTAATATTTACAACTAAGGGATTTTAATGGAAAGAATTGCTTCCTCAGGTGATAGAGCCTCTGAGACCCATGTGATTGTAAGGTAAACCACAGATTTGCAACAGAAGGAAGAGAAAAGGGGAAGGAGGCAGAATTCTGAAGTCCAGACCCAGATGGCATGTCTGGTGGCAGGTGGAGCCCCAAGAGTAAGAATGGCCAATCACTGCTTAGTGGAGAAGCCCCCACTTCCCACCAGTGCTTCCCATTAGCCAAACCCCATTGGAAGCCTGCTAATAAGGGATTGCACATGGCCCGCAGGGTCAGGACCCTGGCAATACAGAGTAGAGCAAACAACCAATAAGGAATAAATCTGAGGGCTAACTAAGTACCTTTATAGGGTTATTGTGAGGAGCAATAAAACAAAAAATATATAAGAGAGACCTTTGTAAACTGTAAAGCTGCATACAACACAATCAGGTATTGATGTATAAGATGCACTTCATTGAAAACATCAGGCACATCTCTTCTGACCTCCTATAACACTTTACCTTTACTTGCTTTCCAGTTACTATTTTCTGCCCAGTTCTCTTGTTTTTTAAGCACATGTCATGTCTTCCCTTGCATGGCTGTGCTCCCTGAGGCCAAGTCTATGGCTGATTCATCGTCATAATCCTCAGCATACATTTCCTGTAGTAGATGTCCAGTAAGTATTGGAAGGAGGAAGGGAGGGCTGGCAGGAAGGTAGGAAAGAATGGAAGAAGGAAAGAAACATCATATTCTGAAATTAAATTAACTTAAAATATAAAAGATGACTCCTATTTTGGGTATTGATAGCATCTGGGCAGAGAATTATTTTTCAGAGGGATTGACCAAAGTGTTACAGGACTTGACTTCACCCATTAACAGCCACTAATTCTCTCTTGTCGTGACAAATACAGCTGCCCACATTTCAAACTGCCCCTAGGAGGTAGCTGAGACCCACTCTCAGCTGAAGCTGCTTAGACATCTCCATCAAGCCTGGCCTCAGGACAAGCTTCGGCATGCCTTCTCCTATGCTCCTAATCCATCACACCTCCCTTTGACCTTTTATTTGATTTAGTGGTAAAATTATTCATTGTCTCTCTGTCCAGGGAGAGAGTAAATAAATAAAGGATAAATGTTCTTAATATTCATTACCTTCATGCAACACAAGAGAGATAAAGTGACTCAAAGGAAATTAGGGGAGGGAAACATTGTCATAGGAGAATCATTAGCTCAGAAAAAAAATACCCTAATTCCTTCATCCTGTTGGGACAGGGCCATTCATTTATTCAATCAACAAATCTACTAATTAATTGCTTTATGCCAGACATTGTGTTAGATGCTGGATATATGGAGATAAATAAGGGCCATCTCTGCCTGGAGTTTTGGATCTAATGATGAAAACCGAAGAAATGATCAGCCAATTACAATGTTAAATGTTTGTTTACAAGCTTTGATGGTGGCAAAGACCTTGGGGACATGCCTGACAAATCACTGTGCTCCATTTCCACAGCTCTTCAGGACACTTTGAAAAGTCCTGGGCAATGACTGGTTCACGTTGTAGGCTTCCAGCAACTTCCCATCCCAGTTGTGGCAGGGACCCTGGAGGACCTCAGGTAAGCTGCCTGAGGTCATGGTGATACCTTATCTTACAACCACAGGTTAAATTCAAGTCCTTGAACTGTGGAACGCAGAAACTGCAAGCAGCTTGTGCCAAAGCACAATCCATTTCATGACTTGACAAGATGATCCTTATCCGTCTTTCCCACTAGCCCAGCTGACACATTAGCCTCTCTGTTGCTTAATGACTCAGTTGTTATTGTTGCTTTCCGAAATGAAGCATCGCACGGATACACAGACACACATGTGGAAAATATTTACGGCCTCTCCCAATGAAATACATGTCAAGGCAAGCTCTTTTGCTGAATGCATTCACTTGTTAAGTGTCACTCCATCCCCCATTTGCTAAGAAATAAGGGTCCAGGAATGGCAACATAACCCTATAAAGATGTATAAAATGCATGCTGTGAATTAGTCCTTAAAGATGAAAGGTTGTGTACTTGGAAGTACTTAAATCTTTGTTCAAACTTCAAATTTCTCCTGCTTGAACTATAGATGTTGAGTGTGATTCATCAGAGCCTCACTCTTGTTCAGGCTTCAGACATGCTGAGAAATGACCCAATAATCTGAAAGGAAGATGAGCTTATCTATTCTCTGTATCCTCAGAAACTCAATACGTGTATCCACTAATGGAGCAGAGTGGTAATAGCCCCTTGTGGTGGCCCACAGTGTCAGGGGTTCCCAGACCAGGACTTGGGACCAACAGACACTGTACCAATGACTCTGTCTATATATCGATCTGGGGCCTTGTCCCTCATGGGGCTTTACGTGAGCATCACAGAGCCCACACAAAACAAGGAGCTGTGTGTCTGTATGCCCGTGTTCATGGGTGCTTGTGTGTGTTCCTCCTCTGGTATGAAGCCCTTATTTGTAAACCCTCCCAGGCACAAAGAGAATAGGAAACGTATTCAAATGAGACCATAAAGAATTCGAAAGTGCTTTGTAGACTGTAAAACACAAGCTAATGATAGTTGTTAGTTGCCATTTTGTTATTAGTGCCCATTTGAATCTT